ATGGATGGATGGATTATGAAGTGGAAGGAGAAAGTAGCAGAAAATCATGTAAAGTGCAAATACCTCAAAACTGAAATTAAGTACAGTACTTGAGTAAATGTACCTAGTTACTTTTCTGGTCCATTGAGAGCCTCCAAACTTCAGGGTATAAGTAACTATGATTGGTAGCTCTATGACAAGAATCCTACTGCTCTGGAGGATTACTTTCCATACAGTTCTGTTATCAGTGTGACTATGTAACTATGGAAATAAACTCAGAAAAATTTATTGTATATAAATTCTAGATAATCATAAAAATGGTTGAATACGTTTTTTTTTCTCTCTCCAGTGCCCTTTCCCAAGAGGAACAGGACGACACCCAGCTGAGGATAGAGGACATTTTACAGATGGTCAGTATCAATATGCTGTAGTAACTTTACTCATGAAGTATAAAGTTTGAAACAGTTGTTGAAATAATTTATCTCCTGATTGTGGAACAGAAAAGCTGCCCTCTCCTGCACTTCATCGTGGTAAGAATCATGTAGTTGTTGTGAAGAGCTCCCTCCTTGATGAGAAAGTGTAGATTCTATGTGTCGTGGTGAATTCTCCCTCATCGAGCAGGTGGATTCCCAACATGTGGAGTCGCTCGGTGTTTGTGTGCTGCAACTTTTAGCACTTCAGTCCCCTTTAAAATGCACTTTGTGTGCATTTAGTTTGTGCGTCTGTGTGTTTTTAGGCGGAGAGTCCAAAGGCAGAGTGTTTCGAGTCGCTCTCGGCCATGGAGCTGGCGGAACAGATCACCCTGCTGGATCACATCGTGTTCAGGAGTATTCCCTATGAGTCAGTATCAGCACTCGCCTCACATCTGCTGACTGGTTTGACATGAACGGGATTTTTAATATTAGGTCTGATCCAATATTTAAATCACACATTTAAGTAACACAGCATCCCAGTGCACTGTCAAAGTAGGACAGCCAGGCTGGCATTTCAACATTTTTTTAAATGACACACAAACATATAGATCGTAAAATCAACCATCTTCCCTGTGATGTTCTAAAAAGTATCCTCCTCAGAAAACAGCCAGGCAGATAAACATGTGAGAAACAGTGACAACATCTGACATAATCAGTTTCCAGAGTGGATAAAGAATAAATGTATACAACAAATACACTAAACCTCACTTTACATCGAGGTTATTATGCAATAGTGACCTGAAACTCAACTTAAAAACTTCACATTGCAGTGGAAAATAAGCCCACAGTGAGGAAAAATGTGACAAAAGCAAACCTCCTGACAGTGACTAGATTTGATGTATGGAGCAGATAATGACATGTGGACATACAGTCTGTGTTTACGGTGCTGCATGTTTTCTGTCCTCCAGGGAGTTTCTGGGTCAGGGCTGGATGAAGGTCGACAAAACTGAGAGGACTCCGTACATCATGAAGACCAGCCAGCACTTCAACGATGTAAGACTAAACTGTGGTTTTCTTCCTGAGCTTAGCTGCAGTGGTGTGGAGTGGCCGATGGTTTTTCCCTCCTGGTTCGTTCGTCACTGCTGCAGTGTTCTCAGACACTATATGACGTGGTACACCGATGTAAACCCCTTTCCAACAGCAGATGCTGCTTGATGCTGTTAAGTCACTTACATCTGATGATTAGACATCTTGTGAGATTTCAGAACAACTACTTTAAACTTTTCCACCACCAAGGCTTGTTCAATGTAACGTTCCTCCTTCACTGACATTCTTAAGAAAAGACCTAGAAGTTTGAGTAGCTTTTGGTTACTCGTCATACTCTGTACTTTTACAGCTTGATTTTACAAATGTATCCTGTTCTTTTTGTTGCTTTTTGCATGTTTTCATTGTTGCCTGTTTTATAATATCTACAACACCTTGGTCACCTGTGCTGTATGTATAGATATATGTTTATTTTCTACCTTTATTGAGTGTGTATGAATGTAGTGCAGATGAGGACATTAATTGTCTCTTTTGTTGTTGGGTTACAAACTTCTGAAACATCTGGTTTAAAAGTCTTCTTGACTATCTCGGCTGTTGTTAGCCTCGCCACTTTTAGCCAGTCTATTTAGTCAGTTACAGAGGGATCTAATTAAATATTTAGAAGCGTTTTATCTGAAGGGATGGAACAGGACAACAAACAGCCACATGATGAACTTCACCCTCATTGTATGCATTCCTGGTAAACAATAAATAATATAAGCCTGGTGAAGTTCTATACGATCAAACTTATGGCTACTCATGGGTGCACTAGCAGAAAGGCTGCTCTTGGAAAGAAGTACAAGCAGAATCTCGCTGAACCCAGAACAGCAAACCTTGATCTAAAAACAGCCAAAGGTATGTAGAGGAAGACTGCAGTCAGTCTTTCATGTAAGCTGTGGTGTTTACTGTGCAGACTTCAGCCTTTAAGGTAGCGCCTCCTCCCAGGTGGCATAAGGCTGATAAAACTGCACCAAATAGAGGTAGAAGTGCTGCCTGAACCCCGTCCACCCTGCAGGTCCCTGCGTCAGGACAACCAGGCTGTATCTGTTATTAAATCCCCATTTTTAGACGCTCGCAAAGCGCAGCACATTTGATGAAGAAGCCACTTGGTACTGCTATGATTAAGATGGATGCAGCAGTTGTTGTGCTTCATTTCCGTTGGGAATTTTTTTAGAACAAATTCAATAACAGATTCGAATATCAGTGTCTCTGACTCGCTGTTATAAAGCTGTTGTGTACTCTCTAATGTACAGGTTTGATAAGGCAGAAGTACGTTTTTCAGGTTTCACTCTGACCTGACGATGAGGAGACTTATTATATTTCAGAATTCTCCCGACTGTCTCTCATCCACAGAGGTTGTTCGTTTTGGGTTAAGGCCACACTTCCTTTGCTGTTCCATAACCCACCAGCTTCATGCTCACACAAACACAGATATGAGTCCAACACATCAATGTTCTTCAAACTTTGTCAGGTTTCCCTTTTGTCTCTCTTGTGCCACAACATAACACAAATAATGTAACGCTCTAGCCTTAATTGTAATGCTTCAAAACTGTTCATACTTAAAGCATCACAAGTAAAACACACTTTGGTTACATCACTTGTCACAGTGTGAGAAACAGATCAAAATGTGGAGTTAAGCGATGAGCACGTGCAGCACTCCCTCCAGTGATCACAAACTTTTAGGTGCAAAGCACCACCTACTGTACTGGAGTGTGCAGAACAGGATCCACGTGTCGGTCCGCCATATTGTACGTTAGATTCAATGCAGTGTTCCACTACATGACACAAGTTACTTATTTTGATTGGTTGTTATCACCAATATGTCATTCTCAAGGGGGATTTTAAAAAAAGGGTCAATTTAACAGTGACAATGAAATCTAAATTTTGACGTTTTGAGGTTTAAGTATCCAGTGAGAACAGTGTCATTAGCTGCAGTCAGTTCAAAAATGAATTAATCTTTCTGAGAAGACAAACATTTAACTCACATTACTGATCAGCTGTTTCTGCATTTAGAGTCTCTTGAAAGCTTGAAATATGCCAATAGTATCTGACATGAAACAATATTTGGCTGTGTAATCTACAAGACTGCACCTTATAACATTAGATCATCATGTCGCTTGTTTGAAAAATCTTAATTTTTGTTAAAAAATAGTAACCAAAGGTGTCAAATAAATGTAGGTTTTGAGTTCAGCACCGGAGTACTTGCATTTAATTATATTCCAAATAAGATTGTTTTCAAATTAAACACAAAAGTCATGCAGTCAAGTTGAGTTTGCTGAAGACATGTCGCTTCAAACTTGTGTCATTTTGGAGGCTGTAGTTTGTGATCCTGTTGTTGACAGATGTTTATCCACCCAGTTCCTATCACTAAGATGAATTATTAGAAACAACTCTTCGTGTAAAGGGATTGAACTGAACAGCAGCACAAACATCCAGAAGCTACAATGAGTCTCTGTCTGCTGCTCTCTCCACAGATGAGTAACCTGGTGGCGTCTCAGATCATGACCCACACTGACGTGGGCTCCAGAGCCAGCTCCATAGAGAAGTGGCTGGCGGTGGCCGACATCTGCCGCTGCCTCAACAATTACAACGGCGTGCTAGAGATCACTTCCGCCCTCAACCGCAGTGCCATCTACCGGCTGAAGAAGACCTGGGCCAAAGTCTGCAAACAGGTTCATATCTCTTGTTCAAAAATAAATCCTCCTCTGTACACCAAACTATCCTAACGTTTCTCTCCGTTTTCAGACAAAAGCGCTGATGGACAGGCTGCAGAAGACAGTGTCGTCGGAGGGGAGGTTCAAGAACCTCAGAGAGACACTAAAAAAGTAAATACTGCTGAAGAAAAGAGGTGATAAATGTGTGAATCTTGTCACAACAGCTGTGTGATGTTATGCCCTGTGTGTGCAGCTGTAACCCTCCATGTGTCCCGTACCTGGGCATGTACCTCACTGACCTGGCCTTCATCGAGGAGGGGACGCCCAACTTCACCGAGGAGGGCCTGGTTAACTTCTCTAAGATGAGGATGGTAAGGGACTTCATTCATTTTCCCACACTGTAGCACTCCGAATACTGTCAATAAGAAAAGATCCTCAGTTGTTAAAGTACAACATGAAGTTTAAATTGTCTGTTAAGGACATATTGTAACAAAGGAACAATTAAATTCTGTGTTTAGATCCACATATCTCTCTTTAAGCAGCACAACCATGGCTGATGTAGAGAGAACTCTGAAATGTCCTCTGTGTGGTCTGAACTGGAAAAAACAAATGGACATGATTGTTCAGCTTAGATTTAAAAATACATTTAAAAGTATTGGTTCTGGTGACATCGACACAAAACAGGAACATATTCAAGATATTAGACATGTAAAAAGGCGACCAGCACTGCTTAAAAGTGAGCTAAACTTTGTCCCACATCAGTCAAGTGAGTTGTTACACATTATTTTGGGTTAAAGTTTCTACTTTTCACAGATGGAAATTAGTTTAGTAGCAAATCAAAAGCTGATGTGGCTATTTCCTTAAGGCAGTACATTCTTTTATGACTCTCATTTGGAGGGTTGTGTTTTTGTTGTTGTTGTTTTAAAGTCTTTTTAAATTTACAAAAGTCTGCTGTAACTTCGGCTAAAATTTGATCCAGTCAGCTTCCCAGCTAACAAGCTCATGACCTACAGCAGTAGTGTAGCCCTTCTGTCAAGGCCAAGGACAACAAACTAATAGCAGCGTATGATTGCCAGTGTCAGGTATGTTAAGAACAAATTCTTTTTGCATTTGGCATTTCGTTCCATGTAGTTGCACAGATGACCCTTATTGTAAACGTAACCATTGTGCATGTTATTTTAACACTGTACAATAATAATGTACAGAAGTCTCAAATGTGTAAACATGTTCAGCAAAGTGTTTCTGAAGAGGCGTGCTATTTATATGGAATTCTATTACAACCTGTTAAATGTGCACTGAGAAACTGAAAAACGTGAGGTCAAACGTTTCAGATACTTTAAATATGAGTGGACACAGGTGATAAGTCACTAGTGAGGGTAGGTAGTATTGAAATCACTTGATGAGCTCTCTCTGCTCTGTCAGATTTCCCACATCATCCGGGAGATCCGTCAGTTCCAGCAAGCACCTTACAGGATAGAGCACCAGCCCAAAGTGAGTCTGATGCCTTCAAGTCCACCACGTAACTATTTGTGAAACATGGCGTTATAAGACTTGAAGCTAAAATATCTTGTGTGTCCTTCCAGGTGACTCAGTTCCTGCTGGATAAAACCCTGGTGATGGATGAAGATACTCTCTACGAGCTCTCACTCAAGATTGAACCCAGAGTTCCACCTGGATAATTCTAACTCCATTTCATACACAAAAATATCACACACACACATGTAAATACATGTTATCACAGTTACCAACACAACACAGCTTCATTTTTCATAAAGCAGTCGTTGTTGTAAGGAAACTCAGGAGAAAATGTGCCTTGTTGAAAGAACATCTGAAGTGTATATTTAATGAACAGACTGTGTCAGACGCGACTCTTTGCCATACGATCGAACAGTTATGACTGTAGTAGCGTCGTGTTAGCTACTGAACATGGCACTAGAAAGTAACCAGTTGCTGCTATCACACTGTAAATACCAAACAATCTGCCTCTGTAGTCTTGCACATAAACACTGTCAGATGAGTTTTACATTATTTGTATGATCATGGCTGAATGAACCTGCTCGGGGCCCCTGCTGACCCCCGTTTCACCTGCTCTCTGTGTATTGTGTACAGTGTTTGTATGCTAGAACAGCACAAAGCCCCGGGGTTGCTGTGTCGTCGTTTGTAGGTTGATGGGATGTTTAATCAGGAAAATTGAGAATAAAAATGAATTTTACAGCAGGAGACAAGCAGAAGAATTGTTTGGATACGAAAATGCTTGCTCAAATGCAGTCACTGTTGTTGGGTTTTTACCTTTTTGTTGTGTGCATGGTAATTGTATAATTGAACATTTGACTCTTTTGATTAATGCATTATAGAAAAATTGTAAAAGGTAAAATGTCTAATCACATGCTGGTCTTCAGTTCTGACTAAAAAGATGGACAAAAATTTAGGAACGCACAAATGAAACGAAATATATGCT